ACTGTACCTTTACTCAAGAACTGCTCTTTAGCACGGAATGTACACTCTTTTCTTTGTCTTGAAGAGAAGGCATTGCCCGCTTTTCCCTGCGCAGTTCTTAATAACAGTAAGAAGCGAACTTGCCCGGCTTAAGACATCAGCAAGCTGTAAAATCCGGCTTATCTGCAATAGACAAACAGTAACTGACGTCATGAGTACATCAATGGTTCTCACAATGTAGCTAAAGGGTTTTCGTTTTAAAATCTTGTGTATATATATAAATGGGGTTTTAGAAGAAGAGGGATCTGCTAGCAGCGTGTGACGAAGAAGGAGAAAATACAAATCAGGCCGCTAAGTTTCCCATTTTTCCAGTTAATCTTATTTCTTTCTGATGCTGTGAATTTTAGCGATTCGCTCTCACACTTTGCCTGCCCCGGAGTGAGTGTAAACCTGTATTCAGACTTACCTCACATTTGCTGACAATGCATTTGATTTCATATGACACTTGAATTTCACACTTCCATCTTTAGAAGAGTGAGAAACAAAGCGACAGGAATAGAGAAGATAAAGTTGGGGGTCGGGAGGAATAGTGGGGAACACTACAATTTATGGGAAGGGAAGGAAATTATCCAGATTGAAAAGCTTCTAGCAATGACCGCTAGCTCTTCTCGAAGAAATGCTTTTGAGAGAGGGTAAAGCGTTGAGAAACGAATACGGTAAATTTTCAGAAAGTGAACTTATTTATGAGTAGACGAAAGAAATTGAGAACTGTCTTTACTGATTTTGATTAGATTTTGTTAAATCACTTTTGGGAGGTGTGCAAAAGTGTGACATTTTTATTTAGTATGCGGGAGGGGGTCTCTAACATGCATTGCTGAAAAATTTAGTACCAAATCACAATTTGCTCTAAACAGTTTCAGTTTCAAATGTTCAATACACTACAATTCAGCCCATACCCCGCGTAAAACTTAATGCATCTCCATTAAAATCCTCGTTCGGACTAAAATCTCTCTTTATTGTGAGAACCATACGGAACTCACCAATACACTTCCAAATAATATATAAGACTTCAGCCCGTACCTCACAGGAAACACATTACGTCTCCGCTAAAAAGCCCAACCGGTTAATGCTATTTAAGGAAACAGTCGCTGTTTATTGTGAGAACCATATGGAACACGCAGATACACTTCCAAATAATATATAAGAATTCAATTCGTACCTCACAGGAAACACATTACCTCTCCGCTACAAAGCCCAACCGGTTAATGCTGTTTGGGGAAACAGTCGCTCTTTACTGTGAGAACCACACGGAACGCACAGATACACTCTGTGAGAAGAATGTAGATCTTGTTACTGTTAAATGAGATTATACATTGACCATACTGCTTTAAATGATTGATGAATTATTGATAAGCGCTTATGATTATACGAATCAAATTCATGCGGTAGCGTAAGTGGTTAAGGCACTATGCTACAAGTCGGAAGTTCGCGGGTTCTATTCCCGTTGAGGGCACTGGATTTTCCAATTGACCTATTCCTTCCAGTCGCTCTATGGCCCTGGGGTTGGCTCAGCCTCAAACAGAAATGAGTACCAGGAATATTCGTGGGGGTAAATGGCGGCCGGCGCGTAGGGCTGACAACCTCACCGCCGTCTGTGAGCCGATTGTCCTCAGATTTAATATTTCATCAAGGGCACAGACTTTGGAAGCAACAGGGTATGCTCTACCTGTTCTGTAGCAGGTAACAGGCTGACTCTGTGTGGCTATGTGAACAGTCACAGTGTGCCCGAACTGGTGACACATGGCGGTCAGATGGGCGGGTCGCGATACCTCGAGAGAAGGAACCCCCATTAATGACCAATACACCGATATTATTTAAATGTAAATTCGAAGTTAAAATTGTTTCCGTAATTAATTAATTAATCACTGCGCCGCAATCACGTCTGGGGAAGTGGAAGTATACCTCCACCCCTCTTGATAGAGGTGAACGATCAGCTTCACGGTCAGGCCGCTTTAACTCTGGGAAAGAGACGAAAGCTACCCATTGGATAGGTTATGTGGGTTACGGATTCGGTCTGAGCGATGTGGAGAAGAGAGAAAACGTTTGCCTCTGTTGGAAATCGAACCCCGGCCGTTCAGCTGGTAGCTGGACTCTATATCGACAGTATTATACATAAGATTACGCAGGGTTTATCTAACAATGCTGTAAGCAGCTCAGTATGTGGCGCCGTGGTATACGAAGTATTGACTGATGAATTGGGATCGATGTTGGAGGAAATTTGGAGCTGGTTGGCTCAGCGGTAACGTTCTGTATTTGTTTTCCAAAGGCGGATGGCTGGAATGAGGACCGGAAGAGAGATTCTGCAGGCTTACGTTTCCTGGTACTCCTCAGTACCTCCAGGCCAATGCTATGAGATGAGTTGGATTAAGTCAGGATTGCTTCCTTCCAAATCCTTTACAATTCATCATCCATCTTACCATTCACGACACCGAACTGCAATATAAGTAAGAGGAAGCGTTAGAATTGCTGTTTTCGGACCAGATATTTATTGATGTTTAACAATTACAGCCTTGTTTTCGTGGGACGCCCTCTCTAACGAGAGGATAGGTCTGTATTTTGCATATGCTGCTGGCCCTTGCCAGTGCAGTCTTTTTTTCGGGTCCGAGTCCCCTGGGATTTGAGACCCCTCTTTTTGTCGCCTCCTACGACTCTCAGGGTTACGGTGGAGATATTCGACCCCACCTCCACACAGTATAACTACTGCTACATAAATACCTGAGACCAGGTTTTGTCAGTGGTAGGTAGTAGGAAAATTACAATAAAAATTTTATTAAAGCATGCACTGACCTGAAACTAGGATAGAAAGGGAGGTGAAAATTTTATGCAAGAAACTTAGCCAATAAACCAGGTCCATGAGAAACCAATGTATAAGGTTAATGAGAGAGTTCTGTGAATACATTTTGTGCCTACCTCTAGCGCCATCTGTGGAACGAGGGGGAACTCATACGTGTTCCTTCCATTACTGGATTGTTTTTGGAAAGCCAGAACAGAAGAAAATATGTCAAAGAATGATACCAAATTTGAATTTACTCTTCTTGAAGCTGTGACTATGAAGAATACACCTATTATTTACCGAGGTTTAACGCCATATAGCCTTGTATGAATCCGAGTTCCTTTCGGAGGAAATTACTGCCTCCATTTTCAGGGTATAAGAGAAAGCCAAGTAAGAAATAAACGAGAGGCAAGAGGTAAGTGGTTTTTGCTTGTCTTGCTCTTAAACCATGAAAATGGAAGCAGTACTTCGTCCGAAGCATCGGTTACGTCCCATTTCTTTGATACCAGAAATGTTTCTTTCACTTTTGGCACTGTCTCTTCGTCGGATGTAAATAGCCACAGTTCTGATGAGATCGGTATATAAATATACTTAGCCGGTTTGATTGTGACTTCATAAGCGAATTTCTGTCCCCCCCCCCTTGTGCCTCTATCTGCGGAGAAACTCCGGGGGGCATTCATGATTGTTGGGTTAACCAGACCTCTCTCACTCACGGAGCTGAGCTCTTCTTGAGAAGCTGCCAGTTGTGCAGCTACTCAAGAATTTTGCAGCAATTTTATGAAACCCAAAGATTCATTACCATGTTCACAAGAGCCCGTCACTGGTCCTTATCCTGAGCTAGATCAATCCAGTCCATACCATACCATACCATACCATCCCATTTCTCTAAGAACCATTTTAATATTATCCACTTACCTACGTCTCTGTCTTCGTAACAATCTCTTTCATTCTGGCTTTCCTACCAATATCCTATATGCATTTCTCTTCTTCCTTGTTCGTGCTACATGCACAGCCCACCTCATCCTCCTTGACTTGATCATATGAATTATACTTAGTGAAGAGCAGAAGTTATGAAGCTGCTCATTATGCAGTTTTCTCCAACCTCCTCTCACTTCATCTCTCTTCAGTCCAAATATTCTCCTCAGCACCCTGTTCTCAAACACCCTCAGTCTATATTCTCCCCTTAATGTCAGAGACCAAATTTCACACCCAGGCAGAACCGCAGGCAAAATTATAATTATGTATGTTCTAATTTTTATGTTTTTAGACAGCAGACGAGAAGGCAAAGTGTTCAGAACTGAGTGGCAGCTAGCATTAGGCCTACCTGAATCGAATTTTGATTTGTTACTGTCGTTCCCAAATATCTGAACTGTGCCACATTTTCAAAACATCTATTAGCTATCTTCATGTCACGATTTTGCGATAGCTGGGCTAGGATATATATATATATATATTTTTTTTTTCTTTTATAGAGTGGCGAAAAGGGGGGGGGGTTGAAGTTTCAAGTTTTCAGAGCCCGGGACGGATACAACGCACTCAGAACCCTGCCTTACCGGAAGAACCACCGATGTGAACCCCAACACTTGCTACCAGCTACGTGGGCTCCCCTGGAGGTGCACGGTGACCGCTATCGATTGCGTCCACGGTGGGGCCCCTTTAGCGTCTAGTCTAGACCACCAGTTGGGGCTTAGTAGATGGAAGATGTATCTTTGGATGTGGCGGTGGTGAGAGAGAGAGAGAAGGGGAAGGGGACCCGTGTACACAGCAAACATACATTACCTTTCCCCCACGTTTTCACAAACCCCCTAAAACCTTTTGTTTGTAGTTAGCAGCCACAATAGGGAAACGTGTCTCTGGGTGAGAATGAGCTGGATAACTACAGAACTGCGGGGGGTGCAGGGCGCTCGTCACAGTAAGGCACGAAAATATTTACCTCTGTCTCTCTTCTGCTCATCGGTAGTCGCGTTTCATCTCCCTCTCTCTCTGGGTTGGGCAGGCTGGCGCATGAATACATAATCCTAAAGGTGGGGCGGGGTTATGATCGTTTCCAGCCACTGCTATTGGTTACGTGTTAAATCACGTGACGGATGCGCAAGCAGGTTTTTAGAAAAGGGGGCAGGCGTTGTGCGGAAAAGTCGCCATTAGGAGCATGTCGTTGCCGAGTCTGTGTGTGTGAGTGAGTGAGTGTGTGTGTGTTTGTGTGTGTGTGTGTGTGTGTGTGTGTGTGTAAAGTAAGTGTATATGTGTGTGTGTGTTTGAAAAGTTAGGGATTGCTGTGGATCAATCGTGGTCTTATTTAATACGGTTTGAGACGGTCTAAGCTCCTCTGTAACAGGCTTAAGGCTTGTTTTATCTGGAAGGCCTCTGCATTCACTAACAGATTTCTGACAGCTTAGGTGAGTTTATTGTGTTTTATCTCCTTTAAATGTTCAAACACGGGCGTCGCGCCTCGAGGCTAAGAAGATTACTAAGACTGATCTTGTGTGATGTGCTATTGGCGATTATTACAGAGAGTTGCAAGCCAGGAGCTCAGCCCACTTAACCGACAAATACTATTATGACAACTCTTTAAGCGTCTTTATATATATATACATATATATATATATATATTCTTTTCCCTCTTTTTTTGCAAGTCGCATTTTTTCTCTCTATGCTGTGTAAATAAGTTATTAGCCTATTCTTCTGCGTGAGTTTCCTTACAAGTTGAGTTGTTTTAACTGCATACAACGGGAGTGTTGGTACAACTGCTCCTGCTAGTGATGACGTAAAAGTGGTATATTTGGTTTTTACATTGTTGCGTGTGTGATAGCGTCATCGGCATGGTGAAGGGAAGCGCCTGTGGCATATCAGTGCACATAATAGCGGTTAATTAGTTCAGGATGAAGGATATGATTTGTTCTGTGTGTTACGATGTCCCGTGAAATGGCACACGAACCCGTAAGTAGACACCAGAACCAATTTCTGCACTCGGTGATTGGAAGCGTTGATTGGTTTGTGTGAAGTGACGTATGAAACATAGGTCTAATATCAAATAAATAATTTATTCTTGCAGAAAATTTGATAAAAATTATCTAAGCTAACGGTCGTTGATTTCAGTCAAGTTACAGTCTGATGATTAAAAAAAACGTTAGCAAATAATAAATAGTGTATATAAACATATATGGCCTACTATACGTAATATGATAAAACCTACTGTATAAAACTTTAATTATGAACTTTTTTAAATATCATACTTTTCAAAAAATTCGTGCCACAATTTTAGTAGACTACGACTGTATATTCACATTGCCCAGAATTTTGTATTTGTGACGGGCCTGAGCAGGCAGCACAGTATCATTGCTTGATGCTGTAAGTTGGGCTTGACCCCGGTCCTGTCACTTTTAACAAGTTGGATTTGTGGTGAATGAAGTGTTAGTGGAACACGTTCCTACCCAGTCAAATCGGGTATCCCCTGCCAAATATTGTCCCGTCAGTCAGGGCTCATAATATTGGTCAAGTTGAGCCCGCAGTCTCATGGCGTCCAGTCTCATTGCACATAAGAATAATTAAAATTAATTAGACTCTAATTCAGTTTTAAACTTCTAAATAGATCAATGATTCCTTTAAATCTTATTAGAGACAGGGGCCCCTGTAGATTCTCATGGTGAATTCGAGAATTATATTACGAGCATATATTTAATATCTAATTAAGGCCCTTTTAATATTGATGACAGCCACGATAGTGTAGTCGGTATAGCGACTAGCTACGAGTTGGACGACCGAAGAGTCGGGAGTTCGAGTCCCGGTAGGTTCAAGAATTTTACTTTTTCCATGTCGTCCAGACCGGCTCTGGGGTCCAAACAACCTCCTATCCAGCGGGTACTGGGGACTCTTTTTCCTGGGTTAAAGCGGCCGGACGTGAAGCTGACCACTAAACTCTAGCTAGTGGCGAAGTAATCGCGGATTTTTGCATCCACTCCCCCCATACGCCTTCATGGTGCTGTGCTTAATTAGTTAAATATATGGTGAACTTTGCCTTTTTCTTTTGCCTTAATATTGATGACGAAAATAATTAGTGACCTAAAAAATGTTAGGATTAATTTTTATAGTTACATGCCCTGAGGCCATTTACAGAGCCTGTTCGAAGAGAAAACGACAACAAACCTAAACATGAAGAAGAACCCAACGAAAGAACGGTTGCAGGTTAACGTTACTTAAATGTAAACAGAAGCAGAACTGCCAGCGCAGGACGAGCTGAACGCGAAGGAGTTCCGAGTGGGAACACCAATAACGGCCGTTACCAGAACTTAGGGCGCCGTTATGTACGTCTGGTGTGCAGTAGCTGTACCGTTAATACTGCATCTCTCTCTATGTATGATAGCGATACTGAATCTGCCTTGGCAGAGGGCTGGGACGCCGTGCAAACGGAAGTACATGCCGACTGTGGCTGAGGTATCGCCATAGGAAATATAGTGATGATGATGATGATAATAATAATAATAATAATAATAATAATAATAATAATAATAATAATAATAATAATAATAATAATAATAATAATAATAATAATAATAATAATAATAATAATAATAATAATAATAATAATAATAATAATAATAATAATAATAATAATGATAATAATAATAACAATAACAATAACAACAATAACAGTAATAATAAAAATAACAATAACAACAACAACAATATATGAAGACAAGAGTTGTACTACTCGTCTATACAAAAAATGCCCTTGAATTTTTGTCCTATTATTGCATAGTATACGTCACTAACAAAAACTAAACCTTTTTTTAAGCGGAAACGGAAATAAATTAAATTCGGAAATATGTGTTCTAATCCGAGATCTGAGTTTGTTTTTTTGTCGCGGAGGTGGAGAGTCGGATGTTGAGCTGCTGTGTTGTGACACCGTGTAGCCAGAAGGGTAATTTCACGGCCTCATATCACTCCGAGACGTTGCTAACATCCTACCAGACTAGACGGTGTCATAAACTACAATACAACGTGAGTAACGTTAATTTGATTCCTCGCAGTTGAACAAGATATTCACGTGAGAGCGTTGCCATGTTGCCAGGTTGCTACAAGTGGAGAATTGTCTTCACTTCTCATAAGCGATAGTTCCAATGTTTAGGCCTGCTTCAAGGGACTGAGGAAGACTGTGAATATCCGGAGAGGAAGTTTGATTGTTTCAGAGTAAGATTTCTTAAGTGGCAAATTTATGCGCCCCGTATTCGGGGGATGTTCGCCTTCAATGTAGTCAGTACATATTAAAATAATCCACGACCTCTTCCCTAAATAGCCTTTGCACTTTCTCGTTCATCTATGATCAGATTTTTATTTCTTATGTGGTCTGAAGTTACCTAGAGCTTTGTTAAATAAACAACAACAAACAAACATAGGTAGTAGCTTAAACTTTTCACAAATTCAATCTAAACGGCGCACCCTCTTCCAAAATATGGGATATTCCATAATTTCCGCCAGTTAGAATGATCTCAGTTGTTTCAAAATTTAATCGCATCTAAAAAAAACACGCGTTTGAAGAAAGTGTGACGAAAACGTAACGGGTGTCGCAAAACTGACATAAAAAGGGAGTTTCATTTGCACCGTTGCACAATGTATTGAGAATATGACCAGTTGATGGTTACGGCATGCAGACACACGCGTACAGATTAACTTTCATCTAACACAAACAGAAAAAGAAGAAACACAAAAGGGTTTCTGAAATGTACCGGCCCTAAAATAACTCCGCCTCGGGCTGACTAGTCTATGCTACAGCGTCGTGAGTGGGCACGCAATAATCGCCCTTACTGTGTTCGTACGATTGAAAGATATCTGAAAATAATATAATGAATTCTCACCTCTATTTTCTTCCCTGTTGGAGAGCTCTGAAGGGCTCCCGCTACTGAAGTAGGTCACAGGCTATGTTTGCATTTCTACAGGCCTAATTTATAAGCAGAAGTACCCGTTCTTCGTCCGGGACAAGGCTCTATTCTTGTCAATATCACAGTACATAGGCCTATCAGGAAGGACTTTATAGAGAAGGAATAACATTCAAATTATGAAATTCAATTTAACAGATGCAGTTAGAAACAATTGGGAATGAGGAATCACATCCAAATATTCTTCCTTCTGTGATGTGAAACGGTGTAGTCTGGTAGAAGCTCACAGCAGTTTCAAAGTAACGTAATGCCACTCGTGGTGGAAGACACGATAGGAAGCAAAGCTAAGCTTGCGGCTTTTTGATCGTTGCTTAATTATCATGTATTCGTCCTGATGAAAGAAGTAGAACGTTCCTCCGAAACATCGGTGAACTTACACCCGACTACACAACTTCGCTTCCTTATAGTTATCACTGTGAGAGCCTCGAACCCAAAGCTCTGCTGGAATACTTGGAATATTGTCAGGAGTAATGAGTAATTTTCGTCAAATTCACTGGGCTTTTGGACTTTGTCCTTCGTCCGGTATTCTAGAAACTAGAAAGCACAACGTTTCGGAACTGAATCTGTTACCGTCCTCAGGTGAGGGAGGAAGTTGGTTCCCTTAGAAAGAGCTAAACTTAATCACCTGACCTCTGTCAGATTCACTAAAGCTATTTATTTACTCAAAACCAGGCTATTTTGACGGGAGATAACAAGAAAGTATGCAATAAAAATTGTGATAAATCTTGCACATGCACAGAATAGGATAAAAAGGAGGTAGACATTTATGCTACAAATTTAGCGAACAAACCCAAGTGCATGAGCGCCGGAGCTTAGAAAAGATGGAGAAATTTGTGAAGACATATAATTTTCGTCTGTCAGGTATTTGGTAGGAAAATGGATCAAACAGCAAACAGAAATTATTATATGGGCCTATCTTAAGATTTCTCATGTTATTCTTCTAAACCGTAATTTAAAACTTATTTTGAATTACGAAAAAAAAAAAACTTTATACTCATAATTACAAACAGTTTATTTCTACAGAAAATTACAGTGCATGTAGTATGTATTGTTAACATACTCTACTTCGTAATGAAAAGTGTTCGTCTGGTTGTTTATTTAACGACACTCAGCAGCTCACAGTTCGTACAGTCGAATAATTAGGTGACTGAAAATTATTTATTCATTTGTTTCAACTCTGTTATCCACCGACGTTGTCAGTATCGATGCTACGTAACTTAGGTAAAAGGATTCTTAACTAATATGTAACTGTTGATGGGATGAAAATTGGCAGGGGAAACTGAATTGTCCCATTCAGAGTTTCGCCCACCATAAATCTCATATGATCTGGTCTGGAATTGAAATGCGGTCGGTTTTGCTGGGAAGACTGCAGTTAGCCACCTTAACTAAGACTTGGAAGTTATATTGAAGGAAGTGGACGTGGCCGACTTTAAAGCACGATTCCACTGTTTACGTGAACGGAC